TTTATAGTTTTTCCATAATCTATGACTTCAGCCTTTCATATACCAAAATTGTTCATGACTCACGTCAACTGATACCTATGCAGACAGGCGAGGCGCAGTGAGAACGGTTCCTCTCTGCAACATGTGCAGATTGTCTAGCACTGTGCCGAGTGGAACACTGATCAAAGGCAGCACAAGGGGGCTCAGGAGCTTCAGTGAAATGTCAGCTGTGCTCCCAGTATCACGGCTAGCATCCAGAGAAGGTTGGAAGAGCAGAAGGAAGCAAGAAGGAGGGAAGGACAGAGGCTCTCAACTTCAATGTGAAGTTGTTTGATTCAGAGCCGGAGGATTTACCTTACCTTCAGTCTTATGTATTCTTCCCTCAGAAAGTTTCACAAACAAGCTTACATCATGACATCTGATGTGTAATCTTTACAGAATAATCAAGCATTTTGCTCTTTCATTATCTTGGCTAATAGCAGGCATTTGCCTACATAAGAAGGAATCATCTTAGGACAACATAGTCATTACAAGGATAAACTTAGGCAAGGTAGGGAACTCAGATACTCTGAGATCACAGGAACATTCTCACTAGCTAAAGATGATGATTCATCAGGAAATGTTAATGTAGGGTCACAGGTAGGAAAGTAACATTCAGGCCAGAAGCACAAACAGCCTGGATTTGTTTGTCTTAAACCTAGCTTCCAGTGTTTGCTTTTTTGCCTTAGTTCTTTATGGTGATTTTAACTTTTGGTTAAGATTGCCCTGAATTGATCACTAAAGTAAACTAGTGAATTGAAAGAGATCTAGCACTGGGCTTGTATATCCTAGTCAATTCAAGGCAAACAGGACTACCGAGTAGATTCAGCCAAAGACAGACCAGTGGGTTCATCTGAATCAGGAAATACCTATAATTACTCTTTCATTGCTTTGCTCAACCCTATTAACTTACCCCCAAACTTCCTAATTACCAATTCTGGGCCAGCAGGAAAACTGCACAGTTGATACAGGCAGATATGGTGTGGTTTCCGTACACTGAGGGAGGAGAGAGAACTGCGCTCCATTCAAGATTGCATAAGGAAGGAGATACGTTTTCTGGAAGAATTGTGCTGCTTCAGCTTTCCTGAAGATGCTCATGCTCTGTGCTAGCATCTGATACAGCAAAGCATCTTGAACCAAATGGTGTTGGACTCATGACCGACGGACTAATGCAAGAGTTTTCAAGTCTGGCTGGATTGTCTAAATTGACCTGGAATGACTGCATACTTCCCATTTTTTTCACCTGGTGATACAGGAGCAATTTTCTACACCAAAATGGCTAGGCTCCTTGACATAAAATGAAATAAATAACACGCTTAGAGATAGAGCTTGTTCTGTGCAAACTATTGCCCAACACGAGGCAGATGGGCCTCTCCCTGTAATACTAAACCTCTCAGCACTCACGTTATCCCCCCTCAGAAGAATTATGATACCATATGAAAAACATCATTCACACGAAGAAAAAGAATTCCAGTCTTTTACTTCAATATTTCTAAACTGTCGACATGAAAACACAACGGGGTGACGACAGGTAATATACAGCCTATAAATCATAAGCCACAGATTATTAAAGTCGCGCTCCCTCACCTTCAAGCGAGGCCTGACCAGCCTAAGCCAGGCCCAAGCCGCCAGCCGGACATCACCACAGACCCACAGGCCGGGCACTGTCGTCTGTGTCGTCCCCCCCCTGCCCCGCGCCCCACCTCAGGAGAGCGGCTGACTCAGGAGGCGCCGACCTGCGCACCCCACCGCACCGCACCGCACCGCACCGCACCCCACC